AGCTAGCCCAAAGCGAACCCGCTTCTCATGTAGGGCCCGTTCCTCACCTCAGGCCCGTTGAACACAGACGGCTCGTTCATGTCATTCCAGATGTACAGGTTCGGCGTCGACCCGCCATAGCTGGAGTAGGCAAACTTGCCGGCCCACCAGTCACGGATCTCGGGACTGAGCACGTCCAAGTAGCTGCTGCTGCCGGGCCAGCACCACCCGTCGTAGTCCTTTCCGCTGGAGTCCTTCACGTAGTACCCCTTATTAGTCGCCTCCTTATGCAGAGAGTACCCGTCGTCGCGCTTCACGTGCGGGTCGACAATGGTGACCATCTTGCGGCCCTTGGCGGCGAACTTGTGCTGCATTTCAGCTGGGTGAGGGAAGTGAGTGGAGTCCCACGTCATGTACCTGAAGGGCAGGTATGGGCGAGTGTGGGCAGGGTAGTGCATGGGAAGTGTATGGCAGACCAAGGGAGAGAGAAGCACATGAGAGTCAAAACTCCAGGCACTAGGCTGGCTTCACGTGCTGGTCCACGATGGTGACCATCTTGCGGCCCTTGGCGGCGAACTTGTGCCGCATTTCGGCTGGATGGGGGAAGTGAGTGGAGTCCCACGTCATGTACCTGTCAGGCAGGCAGGAATGGGCGGTGCATGGCATCAGAACATGAGAATCAAAACCTCAGACATCTAACTGGCTTCACGTGCGGGTCGACGATCGTGACCATCTTGCGCCCCTTGGCCGCAAACTTGTGCCGCATGTCAGCTGGGTGGGGGAAGTGAGTGGAGTCCCAAGTCATGTATCTGAGCGGCAGGCAGGCATGGGTGCATGGCATAAGCACATGAGACTCAAAACCTCAGACACTAACTGGCTTCACATGCAGGTCGACGATCGTGACCATCTTGCGCCCCTTGGCGGCCAATTTCTGCTGCATTTCGGCCGGGTGGGGGAAATGCGTTGAGTCCCACGTCATGTACCTGGTAGGCAGGCAGGCATGGGGGTGGCAAAACAAGCAAGAGAGAGGCGCGTGGTGTGGAAGTCAAAACACATGAGAATCACACCTCCCATTAGGATGACACCCCTGGGCACCTAGCTTTGTGTGCGGGTCCCATTATGGTGACCATCTTTCGCCCCTTGTCCACGAATCTGATCTGCATAGTATGCCATGCTCTCGCCCCACACATATCTTACCAAAGCATTCCTTGCCTTATTCCTCCCCGCAACCTCAACCCACTCACCTCTTGCCATCCGTGTCAAGCCACAGCACATCACACCTCTCGATGTCAAGCCACAGCACATCATGCAGGATGTCATGTTAATCTAATCATGCATAGCATATCCTGCCCTGTTCTCATCCCGTGCCCTCTGAATCCACGCACCTCTTGCCATCCGTGTGCTCAATGTCAAGCCACAGCACGTCGTACGGAATGTCGTGCTCATCGAACCCAGCGTCCACAGCCAGAGCGTCCGCCTCGTCCTTGTAGTTCCACCGGCACTGCTGGTACGCCACTGCAAATAGCTGCGGCATGGCTGTGGTTCCTGTGACTGCCGTGTACTGCCGAACCACGCCAGCCGGGGACGGGCCCAGGAAGAAGAAGAGGTCGACAATGCCGCTCTCCGCTATCCAGTGCGTCGTCACCTGGTTGGCAAAAAGGTGGGAGTTTTGAGTTGAATCAAAAGGTGACTTCGGGGTTGACTCAAACGCGAGAGCGTGGAGAAAAGGGAATGTGTGACGTGAAGTGCATTGTAGGCATCTGCTGCTGAATGCTACAGAGCAGAACGACCCCTGAAGAGGGGGAGCCAAACAAACAAACAAAAACACAGACAGAGAATCTGCCACCACTTCACCTCACCTCCGGTACAGTCACGTCCTCCGGCTTGGCCAGCACATCGATCCACATCTCAGCCGCATTCAGCCAGAACATGCCGGCCGTGCGCGTGGCGCTGTGAGCGAGCATCATGGGAATGGAGCCGTACAGCCCGAACGGCGACTCATGCAGGTACTCGAACACGTCCAGATTGTACAGCCGGTACGGCTCACTGTGCACGCCGGGTCCCTTGGTGGGACGCAGAGAGAGGCTGACAGGCAGGGGAGAGAGTGACAAAGAGGAGAACAGGGCGGGGGAAACGGATGGGGGTGCACAAGAGGAGACTCAGTAGAGCCCGAAGGGCGACTCATGCAGTTACTCAAACACGTCCAGGTTGTACAGCCGGTACGGCTCGCTGTGCACGCCGGGGCCTCTGGTGAGGCGCAGAGAGAGGCTGTTGATGGGCGGGGAAAAGAAAAAGAGCGGACACCGGGAAGAAGCACAAGTGACAGTTGAGTAAACCTGTATAGTCCAAGCGGCGACTCATGCAGGTACTCAAACACGTCCAGATTGTACAGCTGGTACGGCTCGCTGTGCACGCCGGGGCCTCTGGTGGGACGCAGAGAGAGACTGTCATGTTACGTGCATAAGAAAGCAATTAGGGGGAGGGAGAGCAGGGAGGGGGGAATGGTTGGATGGCGCACAAGAGAAGACTCAGTAAAGCCCAAAAGGCGACTCATGCAGGTACTCAAACAGGTCCAGGGCGGGAAGAGGAAAGGGGGGAAGTAGCAAGGAGGCACGGATGGCCATGGATTGATTTCGTACAGTCCAAGTGGCGACTGCTGCAGTTCTTAGAGAGAGGTCCATCGGCGAGCTGCATGCCGATGGAATGCGGACTTGCTGTGAGCTAGAATTGCGGTGGCAAGCGCTACGGCCGCAGACAAGACGGGACGGCACGACGAGCTGACCGCCGCCGATTCGGGATGATGTTATAGCCGAGGCCTCTGAGAGCAGAGCAGCAACGAACGACGGCATAGACGTGCAGTGCAGTGCAACTTGAAGTCGGCTATACCTCGGTTACCCAGGTCAGGCTTTTGAGTCGACTCAAAAGCCGAGGCCTCTGAGAGCACCAACGAACGACGGCATAGACGTGCAGTGCAGTGCAACTTGAAGTCGGCTATACCTCGGTTACCCAGGTCAGGAGGCTTTTCAGAAGTACCTGGTGGCGCGTTCGGGGATGCCATAGACGTGCTGCGCGCCGTGGAAGGTGAAGTCGAAGCTGATGGCCTCGGGGCCGCGCGGCTTGGAGTCGAAGTGCCCCTTGAACGTCTCCTCCCACGACTCGTCCTCCCCGTCGTGCAACATCATCTCCCCCTCATGCTCCTCCCCCTCCCCCTCCGCCGCCTCTCCGCCGTCGCTCTTCGCCTCCCCCTCCCCCTCCACCGGCTGCTCGAGAACGTTCTCTCCGCCTTCCGCCGCCGCTCCGCCTTCCGCGGCTCCGCCGTCCGCGCGCGCGGGATCCGTCTTGTTGCGCCGGTGCTCGAACTCGAACAGCCCCTTGCCGTTGAACGACATGAGCAGATCCTCCCCGCGGTACACGTGTACGGCGAACGGATCTTTCGCCACCACTGCGCGCCGACCCTCGCCGAACGACAGGTTGATAGGAGTCACGTCACCCTCCGCCGCCGTCCCGGAAATCACGAAGAGCGGCACGGCCTTGGTTTCGAGCCCTGGCTCGAGGACGTCGGGGACCTCGAAGCGGTTCTGCGACGAATCTTCGTTAATCTTCATACGAAGCGTCGAATCCGCATATGCCGTCATTTCCAGAAGCAGCTCCACCTTACGTTTTCCGGAAGCCTTGTTACGGATAACACCAATGAATTTTCCGCCGGAATTGATTTCGCCGGATCGCAGAGCCAAAGTGGACGTGCCGGGTTCGCGGTTGCGGTTCCGCTTGCAGAAATGCGCCTTGTCGCATGTCTTGAACTCGTGCGCCTTGAATCCCGCCGCGAATTGCGGCTGCGCGCCGAGCAGCAGAAGCGCCGTTAACGCTAACGCAAAGGTCACGACGAGGGCGGAACGTGCTCCCACCCGCGACGCGCTCCCCACGCCGCTAGCCGCCGTCATGATAACCCCGAACGGGAAGCGGAAACTGTCGCCGTAAGCGGCAATTCCGGTGTCAAGGGCTACTGGTCAGCGGACGAGACCGAGAAAGGTCTCGCTTGTAACCAAAGTGCTAGTGAATGCGTCACAACAGAAACGAGGTGCGATCTGTGGCTCCCCTCTGTTCGTCTGTCAGCGAGACACGGATCTACCTGCACTTGCTGGTGAGGGCAGCTGGAAAGCCGCAGGTGAGCAGAAAGCAAGGAAATCTCGAACTCTCCATCCACCCGCTGCTCGATCATCTCGAGGCTCTCGGAACGGTTGGGAAGCAATTCGATAACTGTCAGCTGTGGTGGCAATACACTTGACGCAACAATTCGGGCAACCAATACTTTGCAACACATCTTGCTCTAAAAATGAGTCTATAGTATTATTATCGTGTGGAGGGGCTTGGACTGATTGACGGACCAGTATTATGTATCAATTTTAATTATCTGTATGTAAATAAAATGAAATTTCTTATCAAATCATGCTACCTTCGTGCACGGATGCACAATTAACCTAAATGGAAACTTACAGAAAAGTACCATCTATGTGCTGAACACTTAGAGTATAAACATCTCATGTGGGTTGAAGCAAGCGCTCAATCGCGTACATCAGGGGTACAATATCGAGGTTGCTTGGAACAGACATCTGACTTTCTCTATGTTCGTCCAGCTCTCCCACCCCTTCGACAGCATCCATGTGAGCTGCTTTTATGTCTAACGACAGAACGAGGGTGAAGGTAACGCCAATAAAGTCGCGCGTATCACGATTCACGACAGCTGCTGCAACGACACTCGCACACATCTCTACCGTGACTCGTCGGCCAGAGCTCTCGCATCTGCCAACAACACTTCCCTTCGCCATTTCCGAGATTTTATCAGACATCTGGAAACTGTAGTTGAAGCTCTCGAGTCGCACGTTCAGTTGAAGAATGCTATAGCACTTTTAACTGTCTTGGAGGCTTCTTTGCTCTAAATCAATCGAATCGTACTGTACATATGGAGAAGAAGCAGACATAGATGTAGGATTTGAGCACGCTCGCACTGCGACGCGGAGAGCATGGCGAGCGGCGCGGGGGGGTTGTGGCATCCCGAGGAAGTGCGGCGAGACGAGCTGAAGGCGGGTGACCACATCTTCTCGTGGCGCATCGGCATGTCTTATTCTCACCATGGTAACTCGTGCGTAAAGGGGAAATTCTTCCCATTTCACCCTCTACCCCGGGAGTGTACGTGGATGCATATGAAGCCATTTGCAGCAGTACGACGAGCCTTTGCACAAATCCCTCCCCTCTCGTCTCGCACACCGCTTGTCTACCTCAGGAGTGTATGTGGGAGCGGACGAGGTGATTCACTTCACGCGCCAGCAGGCAGACGAGATCGGCTCCAACGCCCTCCTAGACTACGCTGCTTCCGTCTCCCCCGCCCTTCAACGCACCACCACAACCAGCGGTGAAGGTTCGGAGCCGTGCCGAGCCTGTGGCACGGAGGGCAGCAGCCACGGCGTGATCTCGTCGTGCCTGCGGTGCTTCCTGCACGGCGGCGCGCTATTCAGATTCGACTACGGCGTGTCGGTGGGGAGCTTTTGCTTGCAGATGCGAGGCGGCACGTGCAGCATGGCTGTGCCTGATGCCCCGCATGCTGTGGTGCAGAGGTAGGACTGAGTGTGTTTGTAGCGAGGCAGGTCATGACAAACAGACGGTGGGGGGCTTTTCCTGCAGATGCGAGGTGGCATGTGCAGCATGGCTGTGTCTGATGCCCCGCATGCTGTGGTGCAGCGGTAGAACTGAACGTGTTTGTACAGAGGTAGGACTGAGTGTGCTTGTAGAAAGGTAGGACTGAGTGTGCTTGTAGAGAGGTAGGACCGAGTGTGCATGTAGAGAGGTAGGACTGAGTGTGCATGTAGAGAGGTAGGACTGAGTGCTTATAGAGAGGCCCCAAAATTCTCAGCAATCCGATTCCCACTCTCTGCTCTCCTGCAGAGCACGTTTTCTCCTGAAGAGGGCTTTGGGCGCTACCACGTGCTGGACAATAATTGTGAGGACTTTGTTGTGTACTGCAAGAGCCACACCCTTATTTTGACTTGTGCTGGGTTTTTTGTGATACGATTGCCACCCGTTGCACTCCTGCAGGGCTCGTTTGCTCCTAAAAGAGGGCTTTGGGCGCTACCACGTGCTGGACAACAATTGTGAGGACTTCGCTGTCTACTGCAAGACGCGTGCGCTAGTGGTGGACAAGACTCGTGTGGGCACCAGCGGCCAGTCCGCTGCTTTCTTTGGGTTCAACTTTGCATCTGCCACCGCTGCTGTGCCCCTGCTGCTCGTAGGGCCCCTGGCTGCTGCTGCTGTGTTTGCCGGTGAGATGGGAGGGGGTGGGAGGGGATGGTGAGGGGAGGGAGGGGTTGGGAACAGGTGGGCGGGAATGGGAAGGTGTGGGAGGGGATGAGACCTCTGCTACTGCTGCTATTCCGATAGTTCTGATTGGCACCCTAGAAGCTAGAGATTGCTGGTGAAATGGGTGCTGGCATGGTGAGAAGGTGGTGAGATGGTGCACATGGTGCTGGCATGGCTGGTGCGTGTATGTGCTCGCAACCGACTTGACTGAGGTAGCTCCTTTCCCAATGCTCCCACGTCTCGCATGCATGTCTCTTGCGTTGATGGTCGGCGGTGGTTGGCATTGTGTGGTGTGTTCGTGTCTGTATGTATGGTCTGGAGTGTGTGCTCGTGTGCTTGTGTGAGTGTGTGTGTCTGTGTGTTCTGTGGGGGTGCAGGGTCGTACAGCTTGAGCCGAGTGGCGCTGGACGTGGGGGTGAGGAGGGACGTGGTGAGGGTGGAGGGGGAGGAGTTGGTGGCAAGTCTCAAGGGTAGGGAAAGGGTGTGCGGGGATGGGACTGGAGGAAGGAGGGCGAAGGACGGGGTGGAGTTGGTGGTTGCGAGGATGAGAGTTGGTGTACATATGCAAGTGGAGGTGTGCCCGCAGCTGCTGTAACTAGATGTGCCGTAGTCCTTAGCTCGTGTGGTGTTTTTAAGTGCTCTATATTAATAGGTGGTGATTATGATGTGCGCTTCAGTGTTATATATAGTGTAATTTAGTCTTTCTTTAGTTTTACTCTTTATTTAGAGCTTCTGGCGGCGTTTTAATGACATTTCAAAAGGCGGAAGCGTAGTTGTATTTACGAAGTAAGCGCATCGTTCAATGTAATGTACAGATGTGGTAGTGATTTGACTATTGGTGAAGCTCGTGCCACGTTTGCCGTTGCTTCACATCGCATTTCGAGGTCCTTGCTGCCTCGTCAGATCAGCGAAAGCTGTCGTCAGCTTTGTGGTTCGTGCCACGCCACGACGAATGTTGACTCGACACTGAAGTGTATGGCTACCGACGAATGTCAACTCAATGAACTCATTCTGAGCTACCCGAATGTCTGCCCGTCCTAATGTTTTATGCATTCTCCCGGCAAGGCAAACCCGCGAGGGTCTGGGTCGTGGAAGCGGTCAGTGCTGCCTCACAGAGATCTGTTGCAGACGGGACCCTTTTTCTCAAATGCAGTCGCGGGTATGGTTATGTGTTCTACCAGATAGCCCTCAAAATCACAGGCAAATACACTGTTTGCCACTTTGCAAGGGAGAGATGGCATGTATATTTTTAATTCTTGAACCTCCAAGCCTCTTCTATCCACACTCCACATTCACTGCATCTCCACCCACCTAGCTCACTCTTCAAAACAATTTGTTCACCTCTTGACACATATTCATCTAGCAATTTGTGGTCTTCGTGGTGGTGTTTCTGTTTCACCTTCTCTTGCTAGCCATTTCCCTCTGCTTTCCACGTCTCTACAATGGCTGCTGCCACCGCGATTCGTGCCCTAGCCATCCCTGCGTCACTTCAAAGGCAGGCGATGTCCGCAGGAGCCAGCAGCTCTGCTGATTCTTCGTCAACGAAGTTACCACTTCGCCGGATTCCGTCCGTTCGTGCACGCTCTCAGGTCCAGTCGCAATCTGACAGTTCTGCGAAGGACGGAGCTGCCTGGAAACACGAAGTCGCGAGACTGGCTAAGGAATCCGCGAAACTTGTCGTCGCTACGTCTGCGAGCGTCGCCGTTGCTTTGTCAGCAGGTAATTCCTTCGCCAATCCCGTCACTCAAGCTGAAATTTATACGACACGAGGGATTTTCAAACTCGAAGAGAGATTTTAGACTGGCGGTGGCCGAATGCCGCATTTGTCGCCACAACCAAGCATCATCCCTGGTTGTATCGGCAATCCCAAAGCTCGCGGCACGTTCCCCCGCCAACCATCAACACATGCGAGACACCATTTTGAGGAATCACAAGTTGTCTTCGTATGGCATTCACTACATACGAACCCACAAATATTAAAAACTACCATTTCGAGGTTCATTTACCCTCAAAACTACCATTGTGCAAGGCTTGCACAGACATGAAGTCCTGTCATTGGAACACGGTCTGTGGCATTTTTTGTAACGCCTTAAGGTTGGCAGCATCGTCTCGCGTCATTTACCCTAGCCTAACCCTGGGGTCCCTTTATCCGCCATACTAGCGTTCTCGCTGCCATTAATACCAACCGCACCCCGGCTGTTTCCTCCCAACATTTTGCTAATCGCGATTCCGGCAGGCCTAGGGATTGCCGAGGCGCGGCCGGAGGGGGTGAACAAGCCGGAGCTGCTGCCCAAGGAGTTCACCACCGTCATTGACGTCGCCGACTTCCTCTCCGCCGGCCAGGTAAGCCAGACGGCTAGCCGTCCGGGATGGGCGATGTTGAGTGTTGGTGCGATGCTGTGCGAAACCAGGCCACCACCGTCATCTACGTCGCAGGGTTCCTCTCCGCCGCCCAGGTAAGCCAGACGGCTAGCCGTCCGGGAGTGTGGTGCTCACGTGTTGGAGTGAGAGTGCGAGAGAGGGTGAGATTGTGTGAGAGGGTTGAGAGTGTGTGAGAGAGGGTTGAGAGGGTGTGAGAGAGGGGGAGAGAGTGTGTGGGAGAGGGTGAGAGAGTGTGCGGGATAGTGAGAGAGTGTGCGGGATAGTGAGAGAGTGTGCGGGATAGTGAGAGAGTGTGCGGGATAGTGAGAGGGTGAGTGCGTGCGCAAGAGGGTGAGGGTGAGTGCCAGCTGGCTGCATTGCGGGAACAGTCATATGCGCATCGCTCTGAATTACCAGAGTCTATTCAGTCCTGTTCAGAATCCAGCCATCTTGGAAAACCAACTAAACTTGGATTCTGCATTTGGTGTAAGTGCCAAGCCAGCGACGGTCGGTCCTCCTCTTTCTCAAATTCTCCTCTCCTGCTTCTCCTTGTCTGTGCGCGCAGGAGGCACGTTTGGCAAAGGACGTGGAGAGATTGGAGCAGGACACGGGGTATAAACTGAGGATACTGGCGCAAAACTACCCTAACACTCCGGGTAAATCGCAAATAGATAGCAACATTGTACATTCTAGAGTTCCTGCTACACGTCGCGTCATTTCAGTAATAATTTCCACCGGCGTCCCCCTCTCTCCTGCTCCTTCCTCTCATCCACCACTCTAACGCGTTCTCTCCTGCTGCTGTGCTGCCGCCCTCCCGTGCTGTGCGCGTGTGGCAGGGTTGGCCATTCGGGATTACTGGGGGGTGGACGACGAAACTGTGGTGTTCGTGGCTGACCCCAACATGGGTGAGTGCATCTCAGCCGTTGATCAATGTGTCAGCGAGCAGGGGCGTGCATGGGCATGAGTGTGGTGGGCGCATGGCAGGGTTGGCTATTCGGGACTACTGGGGGGTGTGGATGACGAGACTGTGGTGTTCGTTGCTGACCCCAACATGGGTGAGTGCATTTCCGGCATGGATATGGTGCATGGTGGATGGGCATGGTGCATGGTGGATGGGCATGGTGCATGGTGGATGGGCATGGTGCATGGTGGATGGGCATGTGCATGGTGGATGGGCATGGTGCATGGTGGATGGGCATGGTGCATGGTGGATGGGCATGTGCATGGTGGATGGGCATGTGAATGGTGGATGGGCATGGTGCATGGTGGATGGGCATGTGCATGGTGGATGGGCATGGTCTGTGACCCACTCTTTCTCGCCCCAATGTCACACTTTCTACAACCCTCCCTTTCTCCTGGGCTCCCTCAACTCAGGCAACCTCCTGAACTTCAACGTCGGCGCAACCGTGGATCTGTCGGTTCCCAGAAGCTTCTGGAGCCGGCTAGCTGGCAAGTACGGGAACGTGTTCTACTGGCGAGAGAAGGGAGAGGATGCGGCGATCGAGGCTGCTGTCATCGCCATTGACAACTGCCTCCGAGAGGACCCTGGGCCAAGGCAGTGCGCTGAGATCAAGTAGATGCTGATGCGCAGCTGCGATGATGTGACGTGTGCAGCGCGTACATGCAGTCAGTCTATTCTGTGGAGTGGACAGTAGGGTAGAGCTTCAGTATGTTGAGATGAATTTTATTGGTTTTACCGTAATATATATTGAAAATCCTATTGGAGACTCCTGTGACAGCTGTTGATCTTGTCTCTGGGAGGACCAGAAACAGGACCCATCAGTCTCTATGTGAAGTGCTAAGGGGACTATACAACACATGCTTCTGCTGTTCAGAATCTGTTATGCTGTTGTGAGAGAAGGAAAGGGAAGGGAAGGGTAAGGATGTGAGGTAGAGGCTGCTATGCTCTGATGGCTATAGACCACTGCATGCAACACGATGCAAAGTGGTTTAAGGAGTTGTGCGGTACCAACTTATTCTCCGCAAGTGGGCGCATGTGCACTCTGATAAGTGCATTCTGTTGGGCTGAGGTGCCCTAGGATCTTTGTAGAGCTTAAAGTCTGAGTAGGATTGTAATAGCGGAAGCGTTTGAATGAAATTCCTTGAACCACCTTGCGCTAGTATGTGAGGGCAAAGTAAGTTGATTAAACAAGCAAATACAAAGGTTTATATAAGAGTACAAGGAATACGAATAGATAAGTTTAAACCGTTTTACTGTTGCGATTCGATACAGTGCGACTCGGGCAACTGCTCAATGTCGAGTTAGTTGTGTGTCCTTGCTGTCGCGCTGTATTTGTCAAGTCAAAGGTCGCTGACCTTTGACCTTCGCGTAACCTCCAGGCGGTTACCCTAACCTCCGAGGGTTGACTCGCGATGCTTCGATTCGGACTGCTTCGCTAGTGTCCTGAGTTTCGACACGACAGAGGCGCTTAAGACTTATTATTCCCAACACTCCCCTTCGCTTCTAGAGTGTCGCTGATGGTGACGTGGCCTTGTCCAGTGAGCAGCATGCAGTACTCGAACTTCTGTTTTCCGAGTTTCTTGGTCAAATAATCGGCTGCCATCTCGGACGTGGGACTGTAGGATAATTCGAGTTTCCCTTTCTCGATCTCGTCCTTCACAAAGAAGTATCGCAGAGCGATATGCTTCGTTCTGTTCGCGAATCCGCTTTTGTTGGCGATGCGAATTGCAGATTGGTTGTCGCAGAACAGGGTGAAGTTGGGTAACTCAGCTAACTTTGCTTCTTCCAGCAGCTCGCGAAGGTAGAGTCCTTCCTTGGTGGCTGAACTGAGGGCGATATATTCTGCTTCAGCTGAAGAGAGAGCGATTAGTTCATGCTTACTCGACTGCCAGGAGATAGGTCTGATAGGCTCGAGACGATAGACGTAGCCAGTGCGAGAGCGCCTGTTATCAGAATCGCCGGCATGGTCAGCATCGACGTAGCCGATTAGTTTCGTCGTCGTAGCTTCGCCCTTGTAGTAAGCCAGGCCGATCGTCGGTGTGCTCACGAAGTAGTGTAGTGCGCGATCGAGCTCCGCCAGGTGCTGTGCTTCGGGTTTCTTGAGATAGGTGGCGAGTTGGCTTGCGGAGTAGGATAGATCTGGGCGACAGGTGACGGCTGCAAAGAGGAGGCAGCCCAGTTTCCTCTGGTAGTCTCGTATTCCGGCAGCTTTGAGTGGAGCGGAATTTCCTTTGTCGCTTCCTGCCGTGTGGCGGTATGGCGTGGCGATAGCGGTAGGTGTGAGCGAGAAGCGCTTGGCGATAGTGTCGGCGTATTTCTCGGCGCTGAGGTAGATAGCATTTTCCTCTTCGCGGATGTTGAGCCCGAGGTACTGGGTGACGGTGGAGGAGACGGTGAGCGTGAGGTCCTTCTGCAGCTCCCCTTCGAACCAGGTAGTGACGTCGTCGGTGGAGCCGATGTAGAGCAAGTCGTCGACATAGACGATCAGTAGGATGTAGTCTGCGCCTTTGGTGAGACGATACATTCCTTGGTCGTGAGGCAGTTGGCGGAATCCGATGCGAGTGAGGCGGGTGTGTAGGTGCTGTTGCCACAGTCGCGGAGCTTGTTTGATTCCGTAGAGCGATTTCAGTAGTTGGCAAACCTGATTGGGGTTTCCGTGGGTACCGTGGGGGAGTTCGACGAAGATTTCGGCGTCGACGGGTGCGTAGAGGAATGCGTTGGCGACGTCAATTTGTCGCAGCTTCTTCTTCTTCATGGCGGCGACGGCGAGAAGAATTCGGAGAGAGGTATGTCGACTAACTGGGGCGAAAGTCTCGGTGAAGTCTCGTCCTTGCTCCTGGTCGAATCCACGCACGACCCAGCGTGCTTTGAACTTCTCGATTGTGCCGTCAGCTTTCGTTTTGATGCGGAAGACCCATTTCCCGGTGAAAATGGTCTTGTTCCGTGCCATGCTTGCGGGAACGACCTTCCAGGTGTTGCGTTCCTCTAATGCCTTCAATTCTCTGTCCATGGCTTCACGCCATTTCTCCCTGTGTTCCCCCCCCAGAGCCTGCTGAACTGTCGCAGGCTCTTTAGGAAGTGAGTTGCCGTGGACTGCGGTGACGAGACCAAGGATTTGCAGTCCAGTCTGTGAGTATCGGGGGAGTGTTGGGTCCTCGGGATAAGCTGCTTCGTCTCCCGCTTCTGGATCGGGTATGAAATTTGGCCCTATCCTTTCTGCTTCGTTGGTGTTGACTGTCGCAGGTGTTACGTAACCGTTGTCGGCGAAGTGGTAGAAGACTTCGGTGTCAGAACTTATAGCTTACTTGTTTCTGTAGGCTATAGTGGGGTATCCCATAAGGGGTACAACCCAATTAGGGTTTCCTATTTGTACTCACTTCGTTCATAGTCATTTCATTCTCGTTCTTTGTTTTCACATGGAATCAGAGCAGGTTCCCTCCTAGGGACTGCTTCTAGGGCCCACCGAACCGCGCCCCGAGGCGCGTTTTTTTTTTTTTAGCGACCCGTCGTGTCGCCCCTAGCGGACCGTTGCGCCGCCCTTCCCCTCGCGGCTCCGCCGCTCTTCCCTAGCGGCCCCGCCGCCCTTCGATCGCGGCCCCGCCGCCCTCTGCTACGCGGCCCCGCCGCCGCCCTTCGATCGCGGCCCCGTCGCCCTCGGCTACGCGGCCCCGCCGCCCTCTGCTACGCGGCCCCGCCGCCCTCTGCTACGCGGCCCCGCCGCCCTCTGCTACGCGGCCCCGCCGCCCTCTGCTACGCGGCCCCCCCCCGCCCTTCGATCGCGGCCCCGCCGCCCCTTGCCACGCGGCCCCACCGCCCTCTGCTACGCGGCCCCGCCGCCCTCTGCTACGCGGCCCCGCCGCCCTTCGATCGCGGCCCCGCCGCTCTCTGCTACGCGGCCCCGCCGCCCTCTGCTACGCGGCCCCGCCGCCCTCTGCTACGCGGCCCCGCCGCCCCCTGCTACGCGGCCCCGCCGCTCTACTCGGTCGCGGCCCCGCCGCCACTCTGCTACGCGGCCCCGCCGATCCGCCCAGCAGCAGCCGCCGCCGCCTGAGCCGCCGCCGAGCCGCCGCCGAGCCGCCGCCGAGCCGCCGCCGAGCCGCCGCCGAGCCGCCGCCGAGCCGCCGCCGAGCCGCCGCCCGAGCCGCCGCCGAGCCGCCCGTGACGCCCGAGCCGCCCGCGCCGCCCAGCAGCAGCCGAGCCGCCGCCGAGCCGCCGCCGCCTGAGCCGCCGCCGAGCCGCCGCCGAGCCGCCGCCGAGCCGCCGCCGAGCCGCCGCCCGAGCCGCCGCCGAGCCGCCCGTGCCGCCCGAGCCGCCCGCGCCGCCCGAGCCGCCTGCGGAGCCGTGCTGCTGTTCCTCTGCTGCTGACCTACCCGCCTCTCCCAGCCCGGTGAGATTTTCAGCTGCTGTCATGGCCACCCCCAATGTTCTTACCTTTGACGCTGAGGGGAGGGCCATTGACTTTACCGTCTGGATTGAAGACCTGCAGCTGTACTTACTGTGTGATGCGATAGATGAGGTCTCTCTCTTTGACTTTGTCTCTGGCGCTGTCCCTGCCCCACCTGCTGATGCTGACTCTGCCGTTCGCTCCAAGTGGGCGACCCGCGATGCTGCTGCACGTCTTGCTGTGCGTCGCCACCTCCCTTCCTCTGAGCGTGCCCACTTTAGTCAGTGCAAGACCGCTCAGGCCTTGTACGACGCTGTAGTTGCACGCTACTCCTCCCCTTCCTCCGCTACCCTTAGCCGCCTCATGCTACCGTTTCTCTTCCCTGACCTCGCTTCCTTTCCCACTGTCGCTGACCTCGTTACCCACCTCCGTGCTAGTGACACCCGCTACCGCGCTGCCCTTCCTGCTGAGTTCCGCGCTGCGAACCCTCCTCCCATGTACATCACTCTCTACTTTCTCGTCACCCGTCTCCCTGAGTCCCTTCGTGTCGTTAGGGACCAGTTTCTCTCTGTCTGTCCCACCACTCTCACTGTCGACCTCCTTGAGGAGTCCCTGCTAGCGGCTGAGAAGAGTATTGTCGCTGTAGGGGCCTCTCGGGGTGACCCTCGCACCCCCATCTTTGAGGGGTGTGGTCCTTCCCCCCTGCTGCCCTCTGTCGCCTCTGCCGCTGCGGCCGACCTCACTGGTTTTGAGTCGGTCGGCGCGGCGTCTGCCCCCAGCGGCAGACGCCGCGCTGGCAAGGGCAAAGGGGGCAAGGGAGCGGGTGGAGCTAGAGGGGGCGGTGGAGGAGGCGGTGGGGGTGGCGGGGGGAGTGGGGGTGGCGGTGGGGGTGGTGGCGGGAGTGGAGGTACTGGTGGCGGCGGTGGAGGCGGAGGTGGCGGCGGAGGTGGTAGCGGAGGAGGCGGTGGGAGCGGTGGGAGCGACGGTCCTGGTGGGGGAGGTGGAGGTGGAGACGGGGGTGGCGGTGGAGGCGGGGGTGGCAGTGGAGGCGGGGGTCGGAGTGGCTCGTCCCAGCGGAGCAGCTCCGGGGGTGGTCAGCGCCAGCAGCAGCAGCAGCAGCAGCAGCCGCAGCAGCAGCCACAGCAGCAGCAGCGCTCTCGCACCGTCCCCGCCCCTCAGTAGCTCCGTGAGTGGTACTCGCAGCGTCAGCGTGGTGGTGCGCTTGGTCCTTG